CTACCTCATCCAAACATCCATTTCAAAGAATGCTTCGCCAGTAACTGAGAAGAAACCACTTTTCGCCGCACCTTCACCTTCACTATCAATGGCTATATTGCCTTTCAATTGATGCCATGGAGCTTCCAGTGTCCTCAAATAAAAAATCACTTATATGAGCGAGAAATTAGTCTAGTTTAAGAAGCAATGGAAAAGAAGTGCGAATTAACTTAATCTAAAGGCCATTTAAAAATTTAAAAAAATGCTTAAATACAACAACTAATCAATCCATTTTCTAAATTTTCATTATATTGTTTCATTTAACATCAGTAAGATACCATGCACAAGATGAATCGATGAATGTACATTGGATAGGAATGCATGACATGTGAATTGCTTGTTTGTTGGATGAAATCTGTAACAAACATATTATTTAAGAATGGCGTAATGTTAAAAGATAGCGAATTAGTTGGTTTTTACTACAGTGAATCTTGAATAAACAAAGTGTTCAATTTGGAAATTTTATTTGACCGAATAAAAATACAACTTTGGATTGTTTTATTTAATGAATGTTAATCTTATAATTTATGATAAATGTGTCTTTTACTCCCAAAGTTAGGAAGAAAAGATTTTGAAAAAAATTTGAATGCGTTTCAACTTCATTGTATTTTCACTGCGACAATTGAAGTTGGTTCGATTTTTTCATTTTGAAATCTTCAAATTGTTCGATAATTCACTATTTGAATTTAAATTATTTGAATTAAATTTATGATAATAATTGTAATTAAGATTAATAAGATTACAATGTTCAGAACAGTCTTGCTATATTCTTGTATAGATATGAAAAATGTAATATTTCTACGTAATAAGGCATGCTAAAGTATAACGAAATTCATTATAAAATTCCTGATATTATAAAATACGAAAAGTTTTGAATAATATTCACAAGACGTTAAATATTTAATTGTTATTTACGATTGCGAGTAAAATATTTATTGCATTATAATGAAATTAATTATTTAATAATCAATATAAGCGATTGCCATCACAAAAGATCAGAAAGATTATACAAATAAATTTATACGGCATGAATTCAATCTGGAAAGTTACTATTCCTAATGTGAAATCTGAATGAATTCAATTCGGAAAATACTGCTAGTAATTCAACTTAAGAAATAAAAACTTAAAAGTTAAGCCGATGCGATTTTTTTCCTGCAGTGAAGTTAACACAATTCTCTTGTTTTGTCTTTTTGTTCAACTGAACATATCCTACCTACTAAATGACCACTTTATCTTGTACTCTTTATTATTTAATTTCAAAAACGCACGTGAAATAATTTCAAGTCAAAATAGAATAAGTCATTAATTTTTTTAAAATTGATTCACACCGTTTAGAAGCTCTATTGCAAGAATGATAACTACCATTGCTAAGAACATTAAAGAGACATTTATTAATAGACATTTTTATTAATGTCTATTAATAAATGAAGAGACATTTATTAATCATTTATACGAATCAAATCGATGATGCAAATACCTTTGGAGAATTGCTGTTGTATTCGATCTCATCAATAGCCACAACATCTAATGGTGTATGAATGTTTCGTGCTCTAAATACAATCTGAAAGATTTTTACAAATTCATTAATTCCAATTATTCTCAATTTTAACGTTCTTCATGCATTATATTACATTCTTAATCATCTAATTTGGAAAAAATCAGTTCAAATTCTGGCAAATTGGTTCTTTCTTTGAATTCAACCTTAAATGGCGTTGATAAATTGTTGAAAAGAGTGATTTTTTGTTTTATCCATTGCAATTCACTGTCAACTGTATCAGGAGCTGTATATGTACAAATGAAAGCATTTTGTTGTACAATACACACCTTAAATATGTTTCAAATATCGACCTAAATATTTGAATTTAAAGTATTCATAATCATCCTAAAATTTTCATCACTATAATAAAGTAATATTGTTATATTATAGGGAAAAACAATTAAGCGACTTATGATTTTTTTAAAAATCTTTCACAACTCAAATAAGTTATGCAAGATTTTAAAATGAATAATTAACCAGTTAAACAAATAAAATAAAATAATAACTTACATCAAGTTTGGATATATTATTGCTTTTCCAATAACTGAATGATAACATCGCGCGGCGGACATCATATTCTTCCACTTCAGCACTAATCAAATGTCCCTCAGCCAGTACTGCTGTCCCACCTTTCGCATATGCATAAAGGCCATCTGAAAAGAAATGTACTCACATTTAAAATTATTGTAAAATTTGGTAGTTGAAAAATGAAACCTTTAGATAAATGGAAATGTAAATAATTGAAGACTTTTCTAACTTGTATTTGAGGAATGTGGAATGAACTGAGACGAACTGATTGGTATATTAACACCAATTAGCCATAAATCAGAATCAGATCGCCATCTGCATAGAGTGCCGTCATCGAAGTTACATGACAGATTTGTTTGTCGAATTTCAGCATTAATGTTTGGTGTCATCACTTAATGAAAATATGCGAGAAATAATTTTAAACTTCAAAATCAAGTTTTAAATTTGTTTTTTTTAAGAAAATATTACCCAACAGAAAATAAATATTTCAGATTTTAAAATATGGGTAATTTTTCAAAATTTTATTATTTAAGCGATCACAAAATTTTTATTAGAGCTGAACTTAAAATTTCAAATCAAAGTCAAATTTTTGACGAAGATTTTTAAACAAATTTTCAGAATTCAAAACGATTTTAAATTTATTAATTGGATTAAAAAGTATGAAAGTGAAATGTTAATTTACCATGAAAAATTACTATAGAAATAACAGAGGAAATTGGAGGGAACCTCATTGGCAATAGTAAAACGATGCATCAACAAAGCTGGCAGCAGCATATCGTCGTATCATCTCGATGGGAACATATAATTTCAAATCCCATCAATAAATAATAAAATAGGTCGTTACGGCAGATTTCCTGAAAAGCACATAATGCTTAAAAAAATTATTGGAAAAATGCTAAATCAGTTAAATAGAATACGCATATTTTTGAACGAAGTGTATATTGACTAAATAATTAGTTCACTTTAAATATTTTTAGATTTTCAAGCATTTTTTTTTAGATTTTCGAAGAATATTTTTAGATTTTCGAGCAGAATGACATTTTAATATTAATCAGTTCCATTTTTTAGTTCATTTCTGGGCTTCATACTGAAATGAATATTCGGTATTCTGAATCATAAAGTTAAAAAAGAGATTCTCCAAAACATTAGCATTTATTATTCTTCATTCATAAAATTTTGCGTTTTATAGTTTTTCCTTTTTCTTTTGTTTTGATTGTCAACAATACAGTTTTGGCAAATACTTTAAACCGTAATTATACCCAGACATAAAAACCAAAAAAAAAAGTAAAATGAAAATCATTTAAATTAAAATTTATTTTGCAATTGCAGATTTTAGAACGCTTCGACTTCTAATAACAACATTTGAAGATAAAGATACAATTCTTTATTCTTGATCTTCAAAAAACTTGTATTGAGCTTTTTCATTCATAATTTTCGTAGTTATTTCCTGAAGCTATTAGATTTTAAAATTTTAAGTAACCGACTTATTAAAATGGAACACAAATACTTCATACATCAAAAGTATATCGCTTTAAATTAATTTTATATCCAATTCTATTTTAGATTACTGATTTTTTGAAATATTTATCAAGCATTTATTTTTCCTTCCGATTTTTATGTTTGTTTATAGAATTAAATAATCTAAGCTAGAATTTTTCAAATTTGCAATTTCGGCATGCTTTGAATAATCATTTCTACACGCTAATTTTTGAGAATAATTTGTTTATGTTACAATAATTTGCAGTAATATAGAATAATAAAAAATATAGTAAAATAATTTTTATGAGACAAAATTTCTTGCGTTAAAGACTATTTAATATATTTTACTACCAATATACATAAACACTTTTTCTCTTTTTTCTTTGTATCATTTTTCGATCAATAGTGAATGGATGATATATAATATTGGTTCATTGAAATTCCTTGAATGCTTCAGCTTTTTCTCATCTTCTCTTCCTCTTTTTCAAAATTTTTCAAAATGAGAATTTGTAGAAGCTGAAAAAAAGTTCTATTTAACGAGAATTTCCACTCTTTAATACTGTAAGGTGAATTGAATTATTTATTTTTTGCCATAATTGAGTAATGGAAGGGAAATGATCTAATTTTGCATTTAATTATCAGCGATGGTTTTATTTAGAGCTGGCAATAATACCACTCTGGATAATGTCCACTAACGGTTACAATTGTAATTCTATCGTAATTGCATCATTGCGCCATTAAAATCCGGTTTGTAATTATTTCTCATTATCGGATGAGTACTGCGCTCGATCTCTCTAGATTTAAGTTATTGAAAAATTCAATGATTGATGAATTTCAAAATGCATCATAAAACTGTTTGTACTTAGATTAAAGATTTCAGGATTTTTAAGAAATTAAAAAATTTTCTTGCCAAGAATTTATTTTTTGCTGCATTTATAACCAGAAATTTAGCATGACATTCTCTGTTTACTATATCCAATTTTTTACTTTAGTTCTTCGAAAATTCTGCAAAGTGAACCATTTTAATTTAATCTAAATAAAGCTGCAAACCAATAATATTTATGCAAAGTTTTGGTTTACTCCATATATTGTTTTATATTTTTTGTGATTTCATTTTTGAAAGCTTGTAAAAACAAATTTAAATGTGGCAAGTCAAAATACCATATTTGAACTGTATAATTTCATTGTACATACATCCTACGTATGATGCTCTAATTTACTTCATTAGTCACAAAACTAAATTGAAAAAAAACAGTCTAAGTGACAAGAAATACATTCCTGAAGCTATCTTTCTAAAGACAACAATGTTCTACATGGAAATTGTCATTTTCTATTTAATTGTATTGAAAATAATTTATTAATATTGCTCGTGCCGTTATTTGAACAATCATACGTATAATATTGTGAATAATTCTCATTTTCATTTTCTAAAATGTTCTTGTCATTTCTACCACTTATAATTATTTAAAAGCCTATAAAACGAATTTATAAAAAAATTTGTGAAACAATAGGTGAGCGTTGGAAACAATTAATTTAATCCAAATTTGTTTTTATTCTTTGTGAGGGAAACAAAATTGTTTAATTTCCTTACGTACCGCAAAAGTACTTTCTTGAAACTTATAAAAAATTCAGGAAAAATTTGCCCGCCTCACAATAACATCCGTTGTATTGTAATCATTACAGCATTTTTGCAAAGATTTCTGAAACAACTGGAATTTTAATTATTCCTACGAA